CAAACAATCTTCACCCTCAACCATGATGATGATAATCTTCTGCTTCTTTTGGGGTTTCTTCTTTTTTTTCACGTTTCAAAATGTTTAGACACATTCAAATCATCATCATTCCTGTTTTCGAAAAGTTTTTTTTTTCTCTCTCTCTCTCTCTCTCTCTCTCTCTCTCTCTCTCTACTCTCGGATGCCGATTACATAAGATCAGTGATGTTTCTAACCGAGAAAGAAAAATGTTATTTTTTTCCAACCAGAAAATCACTTTCACCTTTTTTTTGATATGATTGATGACAAGAAAACAGGAAACAAACAAACAAAAAAGAAAACGGCTATTGTTTTCAACAAAATAAATGGATTGATTGATGCGAAAAATATGTTTTTTTTATCGATTTTAGACATTTTCATTTCTTCCATGGATTTAATCATAGAGAAAAACCGAGAAAAAAACAACAAAGTCAAAGAATCCATTGAATGATCAATGATGGTGGTCTGTCTGGTCGATTCGATGTTTATCTGAATGATGATTTTATCGTGATAAAATATGAAAATCATCATCATCATTCAGGTAGCCATTGATGATGTAGTCCAGTAGGTAAAAAATTTTCCACTGAAAAAAAACATACGAGTAAAGTTTTTTTTTGTCATTCTGAAGAATCATTAGTCATTTTCATTTTTTAAATGTCACATTCTTTATGTCAAAATGTTGAATTCATTCATTTTTCTTCTTCTTCTTCTGACCAAAAAAACTTTGACATTCTTTTGATAATTTTATGGACCCAAAAATAAGAAACCAACAATCATCATAGAAATGACAACCGAAAACAAAAACTTTGACCTTTCACACGATATTTTCATCATTAAAAAAGGATCATTTTCGAAACAAAACAAAACAAAAATTGTTTCCACGATGATCATGATGATGAAAACAACAACAACATCTTTGTTGTTGTGAAAAAAGGTGAGAAAAAAACATTATTCTTGTTGTTGTTTTGAAGCAACAACAAAACAGCAAAATAAAGCTCGATTCTCACCAAAAAGAAAATCTTCCAAAGAAAAAGTTTTTTCTGGTTTTCGCCATAACAAATCAATCAGTTAGGGATTTACAGATGACCAAGACGACGATGAAATTAATCATTAAAAAAGATAATTTGATTCAATTAATTGGATTATTGAATGAATGAATGAATGTTTAGTCAATATTTACTCTTTTGTAATCCTATAGATAACCTTTGATGGTTTTTTTTTCTTTGGTTGTTGAAATCTTAATGATAAACAATTAAAACAAAGCAAACAACTACGACGACAGGTATTTAAATGGTTTGTTTTGAAGCGAAAAGAAAAATGTTTAAAAAACTTAATTTAGCCATTTTTTTCTCTAGCTAAAATTCTGGTTAATTACAAAATTCAAAAAAAGCTTAAAATGATTGTCATCATCCTAATCGTCCTAATTCAAATGATAATGTTTTATATAATTACCAAAAAGTTCATTCATTCTTTTTTGAAGATAAGTTTTTTTTTGATTTCAAACAAAATCCTAATGATGATTATGGATGCCAAAAGAAAAAGGTTAGCATCGTCTTTTTGGCCGGTTTTTTTTAGAAAATTTAAGTTTTTTTGTTGTTTTCCGACCAAAAGTGTGTGTGTGTGTGCGATCAATATACATTTGGCTGATGATGGAAATCCATACCGAAATTAAGGATTCAAAAAAAGATAAGATTATTGCGAATTCTTTCAAGTTTCTTTTTCTTGGCAATGATTTTCTTACCGATAACACACACATTGAATTGAATGGAATTGAACTTGGCAAAATTTTAAATTTAAATTTTTAAGTTTTAAACTCCTTCGCAAATTCTCGATTGATATGAAAGAAATTTTCCAATTAATTTAATGATAAACTTTATCAAACCAGAAAGTCAAAATAAATGTTTCACAAGTTCAAGGTTTCTGCCCGGTAAAGATATTCAAGAAGAAAAAAGAAAGAAAAAAATCTGATTCTGTTTCATAAAATTCAAATCTTTCATTCAATTTGATTGAAACTTTCTTATTTGAAACTTTGTTTTGCTTCACTTTGTGTGTCATTGTTTGTTTGGCCACAGGTAAGGTGTATTATTATTATTATTATCTCACTATGGTGCGTAAAACGCTACGGTCCATTAGACATTTGAAGAATTTTTTTCCCAGTTTTTTTCATTCTAAAATCGATAATTTTTTTTTGGCTGAAGAAGAAGAAAAAGAAAAAAGGCTCGATTCGATTCGAGGTTCGATGAAAGAAATTGTAATTTTCATTGAATATTCAAAAAAAAAAAGAAACTTTTCACTTTTCAAATCAAATGACCTTGTTGTTCAACAAATGATTTTTGTTTTTTCTTCTTCAGAAACAAAAAAAAATAGACCATAGTGGTTGGCAGTCAATGATGATGATGATGGGTTTGGTAGGTGATGATTATGTTGGAACCTTTAACACACTACCACCACCACCATTGGTGGAAAAAAAAGAAAAACCCTCAAGCCACACATTGATATATATGATTAGCCATTGATTTTCTTCTTGTTGTTGTTCTTGGGCTTTGTTTTGTTTTAAAAACACAGAAACAAATTCTTCGTCTTGAATAAACACACAGTGAGAGAGACAATGAACGAATCTAAAATGATTTTTAAACAAAATCACTAATCAGACAGAGAACTGTTGACTTGATCAACCAAAGTCTATCTCTCTCTATCTCTCCCTCTATGTAATTTTGTCCACCACCGAAAAACCACACAAACTAAAGTTATTTAAATAAAAATTATTCAGAAATGAAGAACTAAATGTTTTTTATTTGTCACAACCGATAGTCATTTTCTGTTTCCATTGATTTTCTTCTGGTATGAGAAAACTTTTGGCTAGCTAGACGTTTTTTGACAAACATCTTGATCTTCTTGATCTTTCCATTTCAACAATAAAAAAAAGATAACCAATCTTAAAGTAGAAGAGAAAAAAAACCTTTTAGAGCCTTGAATTGTTGAAATAGTTGCTTGTTTGTGTTTGTTTTTCTGGTTAAATTTCATTGATAATGATTATCATAAGGCAGTCAGGCAGACAGACAAAGATAAAGTGATTGAACGAAAGAGAGAATTCCACTTGAATGAATAAAAAAAAATGTTGAACAAGTGGAATTTTGTTGTTGTTGAAAAATGTATATTTCGAAATTAAAATTAAGTAATGAAAGTTAAAGGTGAGAAATTTTTCCTGTTAAATATTATCATCATCATAATAATTAGTTTGTATGTTTTGTGCATAATTAGTCATTTGATGATGTTGTTTTTTTTACACTGGAAAAAAATCATATATGATTCGCTTGATTTGATTTTGGGAAAAATTTTTTTGTTTGATATTATCAATTTCCTGTGTGCATAGGTGTAGGTGTTTGGTAAGTGTGTGAATCGGATACCAAGGGGTTAATGGAATTTTCCCACATACAATATTGATGAAAGAAATGAAAAATGAAATCGAAAAACATCTCAAATTACCAAAAAAAAAAATTGGTCCTAGAAAATCCGGATTGATTAAAATCTTTACATTTGTTTCTTTCTTTTGCCCAATCTGTTGTCAACTTTTTTTTGAATAATTCAAACAAAAAAAAGTAAAGTAGGTAGTAATAGCCGTAGTATAGTATACAGGTTTGGCGTGTGTTTGAATTGAATGTTTTTCGTTGTTTGGTTATTCAGACAGTAAATTTTTTTTCGGTTTACAAACTACAAGGACCAACCGAAGAAGAAGAAAAAATTTCAACAATAATGTAAATCGATCGATCGATTCGATCGATCGATAGAAAAATCTGAAGCACGCTATACATTTCTACCCCTGCATAAAATGTTTCGGAGCCAGACAGGCCATTAAAATGAAGAGCAAAGAAAACTCCAACTGCAAAGAAACTTCGAAGTAACATGGTCGTCGTCGTCGATTATGATGATAGTGCTTTTTTTGTTTGTTTGACCATGTTGTACAAGGTAAAATTTTTAACACAGAGAGAAAAAAACAGTGATTGTTTTGTTATTGGCAAATTTTTTTTTCACTTCAATTTTACCTTGGACCATTATGTACTATGAGGGTTTTACATTATCATCATCATCCAGGTAACCAAAAAAAAGAAAAACGAAACGAAATGAAATGAAAAACATGTTAATAACAGAAGAATTCTACTACATATGTACAGTCAGTCAATACACAAACACACACACAACAGCAATTAGCATTGAATGATGAAAGATATCAAATAGGTAAATGATAAAGGGAGAAAGGTAGGTAAAGAAATGTAAAATGAAAAGAAAAAAGGTGAATGGACATTGGATGATGATAAAGAAAAACGAAGAAGACGTAGAAGAAGAAGAAAAAGAAGCGATAAAAAAAGCCTACGAAAAAGAAATGATGATAATAACCTTATGGTAGATTGAGGATAGATCAGATCAGATCAGATGTATGGATGGATGGATGGGTATCGTGGACAACAAACAAACAGAAAAAATTGGAATGTGGTGTCTGTTTTTTTGGACGATAATGTGTACTGGTGGTGGTGGCATTACCATCAATAGCCATTCGGCTACATTTTGGCCATCGTCGAAGACGACGACGACGGGGCTAGGACAATTCATTCATTTACTTTATATATTCAGAACAAGGTGAGAATGATGATCATTGGTTTAGTTGGTCGGTCGGTCCGTCAATCGTGGTCCACGACATTGAAGTGAAAACACAACCAATCTCAAAACAAAAAATATACACACAAATTACATACATAGAGAAAACAGACCAACTTGAAATTCAAGTCTTGCATGTTTTGTATTGAAAAAAAAGAATGTGACCATGTTTTGTCTTCTTATAGACCAGCATACACATGAAAACATTTTTTTCTATTCCTATTCCTATCCGTGTTTCTTTCGTATGTTGGATATCTTCTCCGTCCATTCATTTCAATTTAGTCATTCAACAAGTTTATATCGTTGATTTTGTGTTGGATTGACTGACTGTATGGTGGTAGACATGTGTGTGTGTTTATTTGAATTGAAAAATTTTTCAATGTTTGTCGAATGATTCTTTTTTGTTTATGAAAATCCTATTCGGATTTGTTTTGTGTTCAACCAGAAATTTTTCCCATTGATTATTCTACATTCATCATGTTAAAATGATGGATTCGCCACCATTATTATCATCATCGAAAATGAAATTAATCATTGATGAAACAATGATGAAAACATTAAATAGAACTCGTGGTCGTTGTCGTAGGCCATTAATAGATTCTCATTATCATCATCATCATAGACATCGAAAGCAACAGGTGATACAAGAAGAATCACCAAAATTCAATAGCTCATCAAGTCATCGATCATCACCATCGCTTTCATCATCATCATTGAATTCAATGTTAATTTTTTTATTTTTGTTTTTATTGTTTTTATCAAATTCATTATTGTTATCATCAGTTGTTTGTACGTTGAATTTTGATCAACATTCATCATCCGTATCATCTCAATCAGAATCTGGTCAATTAGAATTAATATTTTCAGTTACTGAAAATGTACCTGTTGGTTCATTTATCGGTGTAATTAAATCACCAAACGAATCGATTTATTCGATTGAACCACCATTTTTAATTGTACCAATACCTGATGGTGATTTACATTCATCATCATCAACAACGAATGATAATTTATCAACAAATTCACAACAACAACAACAATCATCTGGTTCGGTTGATACTGATCTAAATATTGATCAATCAACAGGTGAAATACGTACAGCAATCGAATTGGATCGTGAACAACGGTTATATTATTCATTTATTGCCATTTCATTGACCGGTATTAATGTTCATGTTCGAATTGTAAGTTTTGTTGTTTTTTTACTACTATTTTTCCAGAAAAAAATGTCAATGAAACAAAAATCTGATCTTATCATCGATCGATCGAACAATGACAGTTGAAAGATAGAAAAAGATTCGTTTCTCTTTTTCAAAACTAAACTAAATTTTTTGTTTCCAAAGGAATTTCATCTTGCTGTTGCTTTTTGTTCTGATTTATTTTGACATTTTAAGGTTAAATCTTTCTTTTTTTTTCGTTTCTTTTCTACTATTCGTTAAGACAGGTAGTAAGTTTTCCACTAAGTATGATTTAAAGTAATGATGAAAATTATGATTACCTTTTCTCTCTCACACACAATGACAATGACCAGATCAAATTCTTTTTTTTTACTGTTTAAAAAGATGTCGATAAATAGATTCATTCATTCAGACCCTAATTCATTTGTTTGATTTTTATTGTTGATGATTGATTGATTGATTGATGTGCGTGGTTGTTTTTGAATTTTCTTTTCTCTATCTTTCTCTCTTGCCAGATTCATAAGTCGAACCAGTTCAAATTATCCAAAATATTATTATTAATTTTCTACTAATTCAATTTGTCCATGTTTGTTGTTTGGAGAGAAAAATTCATCATCATTTGACATTGATTCAAATCAATTTATGCATGTTTTTTTGCCCCTTTTATACCCTGTTAAATAATAGTCATCATCATCATTAGCTTCCTCATTCCAGAATTTCCAGGTTAGGATTTTAAACTTGTCTACCTTAATTGATTTGGACATTTGTTATTTTTTTCAATAAAAACTCGTGCTGAAATCAACCAGATTAATCCAGAATACACAATCTAGATTTTTCCTTTTTTCCCTAAACGATTATTGATTTTTAAAGATGTTTGTTGAAAAACAACTGACCGTTCGATTATATAAGAATCGTTTGTTGATTGATATTTTTTTTGTTTGTTCCCCACACCAAAATTGGCGATTGGTGATTGTGTCAGTGTGTAATAATGAATTGTAGAAAAAAAACCAATGACCACATACTGTTTTTTTGATCATCTTTTTTTTATTGTATTTTGTGGTGGTGATGGTTGTTGTCCGATAACAAGTCTTATGTTGTTGTTGTTTTTTTATAAATAAGGTTTTCGGATTCGATTTGATTCGATTCGATGATGATGATGATAATAATCATAATGATATGTGAGGCTTGTCAATATTTGTGTGTGGTGGTGGTGGTGGCTACTTGTTTTTTTTTCGTGGTCGTTTCTTTTTGCTATTTTGAAAAAATTATTTATTGATGATAATCATGGAATTTATTTGATTTGCTTTTCTGTCCTTTTTTTTGTTCAACAGAACATTGAAGATGTTAATGATAATGCACCAAGATTTCCTACACATGAAATTGAACTGGAATTTCCGGAAAATAGTAAACCAAGAGATGTTAAACGTACATTACCACCGGCTATTGATTTGGATCGTGGTAAGTAATCAAATAATAATTAAGTTATCTTCGGTCATTTGAATAATTTTGATTGGAAATTCTTTGCGTAACTCCCTTTTTTTTCTGTAGCAATTTTTGGCACACAAAGCTATCGAATTGTATCCGGAAATGTTGCGAATGCATTTCGTTTGATTAGTCATCGTGAAAAAGATGATATTCTTTATCTTGATCTTCAAGTAAACGGTATACTAGATCGTGAAACAATGGCCAATTATAATTTGGTTATCGAAGCATTAGATGGTGGTCAACCACCATTAAAAGATCAATTATTGGTTAAAATCGCTATTGTAAGTTAAAAAAAAATGTTTAAATTTTTTTTGAATTCAATCGATTTGTATCGACCATTTTAAAATGAAAAATATGAAATCTTTTCTTTATTATAGCTTGATCATAATGATTGTGAACCAATATTTAGCCAAAATCATTATTATGGTTCTGTATCGGAAAATATTACATTAGGTTCATCAATTTTAAAAGTATCCGCTATTGATAATGATGATGGTGATAATGGTCGTGTTGTTTATATGCTACATACAAAACAAACAAACAACAATAATCCATCTTCATCCGCTAGTGGTAGTAGTAGTAATTCAATGGATAGTTCATCATATTTTGCTATTAATCGTCATACTGGTTGGATTTATATTGTAAAACCATTAGATTATGAATCACAAGATTTACATGAATTAGTTATAATTGCACGTGATCAAGGTGTACAACCTCTGGAAACATCAGCATTCGTATCGATACGTGTTACCGATATAAATGATAATCAACCAACAGTAAATATGCTTTATTTAACATCAAATTCAAAACCAGAAATATCGGAAAATGCCCGAATTGGTGATCTTGTTGCACGTATTTCTGTGAATGATGCTGATTTACATGCAACATCACATTCATCATCATTCATGAAAAAATCCTCATCATCAAAACGTTATTCATCATATAATGGTTTAAGTGTTTCATTATTTGGTGCACCGAATGGTGAATTTGGTTTGAAAACAGCCGATCAAATTGTTTATCTAATTGTTGTTACAGGAAAATTAGATCGTGAACAACGTTCTAAATATCAATTAACAGTGATTGTTAGTGATAAAGGTTATCCACCACAAAATACAAGTACAACATTTGAATTAGAAGTGTTGGATGTTAATGATAATCCACCTTATTTTGATCAACAAATTTATCATCAAACATTAATGGAAACAGCCGATATTGGATCAAATGTTTTTCAAATGAAAGCAAATGATCTTGATTCTGATTCAATTCTTACATATGGATTTTTAATATCAAAAAATAACACCAACAACAACAACGACAACAATGATGATGATGATGAAATGATTTATTTTCAAAAATTTAATCAACAAAATCAAACACATCAAATAACAATGAAAACAAAATGGTTTCAAATTGATTATCGTTCAGGTTTAATTACAACACGTTCATTAATTGATTGTGAAATTGATCCAGAACCAATATTAACAATTATTGTTAGTGATTCATTAACAACAACAACAAATAAAGATCCAAATTCAATTGAATTGGGATTTCAAACAACAACCAAATTGATCATTTCAATCAATGATGTAAGTTTCTGGTTTTTAAATTTTTAAAAATTTTCAATTTTTGATGAGAATAGAATCGCTTTGCTTAATTCTTTTCAAAAGACTTAATGTCAAAAATACAATAGAAAAAAAAGACAAACAATAAAAACTTTTTTTTGGTCATAAAATTTTTCTACCCAAAAGATTTTCTTCTTCTTTTTTCTGTTGGTATTTTTGTGAACCCGTTTTTTTTCTTCTTAAAAAATCAAAAAAAAACAAAATTTTAAAACTGGTTCGGTTGGCCATCCGTTTTCAATAACATAAACAATGTTTGTCATTATCATCATATTGTGCAACAAGAAAAGAAAAAACCAAACAGAAATCAGATACGGAAAAGATTCAAATCCATTGATTATTTCCCCATGTACTCTCTATTTGTAGCCTAGCAAATTATCAATTTTTTTTCTTGATTGAATCGAACAATAATGATGATTATAATGATGATGGTAGATCGAAGGATGACGATGGTAGATTGATTGTTTGTACGATTTCCATCAATTCTTATTTCTATTTCCATGGTTGTTCACACAAATATGATTTTTGATTCAATTTGAAATTTTTTTTTTCATTATTTTCAATAATAACCATCATTATTATTGTAAGAATGGAAAAAGGATTGAAATTTTGAATAATAATAAAAATTATTCATTTGAATAACTTTGTTGGATAATAATGTGTGTGTGACTTTTGTCAAAAAAAAAGGTCAGACAGGAATTTGCTTGCTACCTTCCTTATATAGGTAGTTCGTTTTTCACACACAAAATAAAAGTTTCTGCTGTTGATTGAAATGTTGCATGTTGAATTTAATTCAAAAAAAAAATCAAATCAAATTTTGATTGTTTTTTTACTGGAGCAAGCAGCAATCATTGTCGACCTGTTCATTGCTAATCACCAACATTTGTTTGAGGCGTTAATGTTATTGTGTTACCTGTGTGTGTGTGTTATACATGAATGAATAATAATGATGCAGATGATGATGATGATTGTCTTTGTTTGACAATTAATTATTCTAACCCTCAGTTAGATAATGGGTAATGAGGATGATGATGATAACTATATGGTGGTCTGACACTGGTGACAATTTGACAATGATAATTTTTTTTTCTTGATTCATTTGATTAAATTAATTTCATTATCATTAATTCATTCAAGGAAGAGCTTTTCTCGTTTGATACATTGTAGCAAAACAGAAATTATTATTTTTTTCCAATTTGATTTCATTATCGTGAAAATCTTTAAATTGATATTTTTCATCTTTCGGAAAACTCGTGATATACAGGCACAGAAATTATTAGGAAAAATTCTTTTCGCAATTAACCCTTTAATTCCTGGTCGAAATTGACCAGGAACACAAAAAAAAATGAAGTGTAATTCAACTGAAAAATTATTATTATTGATTAGTCAACCTATATATTTCTCCTTTCTTCTCTGTCTGTCTGTTTAGGCATATTATTATGAGATTTATAAAAATTTTTTTATAAAAAGCCGATAGTATTTTATCATTATCATCCATAATTAATCGTAATAATAATAATAATGATAATCTTTAAGAGATATGTGGATGTTAACTTTCATACAACAAATTAAATCACCAAAAAGGTCAAAGGTATGTGAAGATGAGATGAGATGAGATAGGATAGGATGATGATGGTAGCCAAGATCAAGATTATTATTTGGCTGGTTGGCTGGTTAGTTGTTCATCATTCCACATTCGATGTTTATTTTTTTTCTAAACATCAAATTCCATTTTATATTGTACAGGTTTTTTTCCCTTACAAACTTTGAATGATCGAATTCGAATTATGATGATGATGAGAAAATGAGGGAGAAACCTTCATATATATATAGGCCGTGAAAAAAAACGTGTATGGTTTGGTATGTGTTCGGTGAAGAAGAGAAAATAAAAAGAAACGAAACGAAGAAAATTATGATGGATGATTGTAAATCGAAAATTAGACATTACGCGATCATTCCCTACACACATATGTGAAGGTATACGAAAGCAAAGGCAAAATCATTCAGGCAATGTGGATGACCAATACACATTTTTCAAAAAAAAAAACATAACCAGACCAGATGTAGATGAAGTTAAGAGAAAAAATCATCCAAGATAAACAGATTGCATATCTGATGATTTTGATGTATTTCTTTTCCATTCATTTCCACTAGGATAATATTATGACAATCTTACTTACTTTTGAATCTATGGAAAAAAAGACTTGACTTTTGAAAAAAGTTTAAATCAGGAAAAAAAATCCCCAATTTTAATCTAATATAAAATCCGAGCTTCTGATTGTAGATTTTCTTTTTTGATCTAAAAAATTTCATTCACCAAAATTTCGTAAACAACCGAATGACAACACCCAAATACAATATACGAGATCAAAAACAAAAGCAAAAGCAAAATTTTAGTTGTTGAAAAGAATTTTCGAAACATAATTTTTCTACCTGTTTTTTGGAATTGAATTTCTTCCTCATCATTATGATACCATTATGGTTGATTGAAGAAATGGCCATGTTTGTTGTTGTTGTTTGGTCGATCGGTCAATTGCCACACCAACAACAACAACAACAACAACAAACGAATGAATGAAGAAAACTCACGAACTTAACGAACGAAAAAAGAATGTTTGAAAGCAAAAAACCTGTATATAATTTTCAAAAAACATCTTCGTTTTTTTCATTGAAAGAATCTTTCTAACCTTAACGCTGACGACGATGATGATGATAATGATGGACGATATTTGGTTTTTGTTAACCAAATTTTGAAGATTTCGTAGAAAATTTTTTCTTTAATATTTTTTTCACCGTCATAATCCCCCCTAAACACTACCTTTTTTTTTCTTTCTTACTACCATTAATTAATTACCCAAACTAATTAATTAATCAACTTACCATATATCATCAATTTTCGTTTGAAAGGAAGAAAAAATTCTTTTTGTTTGGCGCTTGTCAGTGGGGAAAAAAATCTTTTTGATTTTTGACTTTTGATTTTGATAACAAATTAATTCTTCTCTTTTTTTCCCTTCTTTTTTTTAGATCAACGATAATGAACCAATATTTGATCAAAGTTTTTATAATGTATCAATCAGTGAAGATACATCTGTTGGTTATTGTTTATTACGTTTACAAGCTGCTGATGCTGATTGCGGTCTGAATGCACGTGTAAATTATTCATTAGAATTATCATCGCCAATGACAATGATGACTGTTGATGATAATAATAATAATGGTAATGGTAATAGTGGCCGATCATTACGTAAACCACGTTTATTACAAATGATACATGATGATGAAGAAAAATTAGATAATAATCATCAACAACAACATGAACGTTTAAATTTATTTGATCATTTTCATTTGGATTCGAATACTGGTGAATTATGTTTGAAAAAACAACTGGATTATGAATCAATTACGGTATTTGATCTGCCTGTTATGGCAACTGATCGAGGTAAGTTTTGTCATTTTATTTTTTATTTCTATTTCGACATTTTTAAATCCTAACCGTTGATAATAGTCACCAATGTGTAATAATTGTCACCAAAAAAAAAAACATCCCGTTAACAATTTCATGTCAATAAAAGATAATAATATATTAATACAAGACTTCAACAACCTAACCTAACCTGATGATCAAACCAAACCAAACCAAAAACAACAACAACATATAATTATCAAACATTTTTTTCTGACAAATTGTTTTTTTCTGTCATCATTGTCATCATCAAAGATTTGTCGTCTTCATCATCCTAATGATAATGATTTTGTTGTTGTTGTTGATGACAATGAAAAATTTTTTTCAATTTTTTGTTTCTGGTCTGTAGGATTTGAATCAAAGATTATCATTATCATTATCATTCATCCAGCCACCCCACCCATCTACATTGACATTTTGTTGTTGTGGCAAAATATCTGTAGGCTTGATGATGATCATCATTATTTTGATTTCGTGGGCTGTTTTTGATGATGATTATGATTATGATTATGACGATTCTGTCATTTAGAATCGGATGGGATGTATTGGACTGGTACATAAAATATTTGACCGAATAGAAAAAAAAATTTTGTCTTATCATTATTGTCAATCATAATAATGATGACCAACATTTTTGTTTTTTTTTTAGTTGCATTCAGGTCAACCAAAAACAAAAATGTCATAATTTTTTTTCTGTTCCTGTTGGGTAATGACAAAACGATAATAACAATAACAATTTAGATTCAAATCGATACAAAGCATATTTTAGGATGTTTTTTTCATTTGTTTGTTTGTTTTTTACAAATGGAGGAGGGGGGAAGGTGAGGTTGAAAAAAAATATTCGAAATTGTAAAATCCTAGATAGAAATCATCATCATCATCATTCGATTTGTGATTGACATTTTATGTCGAATGTTGTCGATGGTGACATTTTGTTCTCCTGGCTGAAAGTCTATAATGATAATGTTATGTAATGATGATGCCCTGAAGCAAAACTTTGGTGAATGGTAAATGTGGTAGTATGGTAGATACACAATGTGTGTGTGTTTAGGTTTTTTTTCGGTTGAAATTTTATCTTTTCAAGTACGTCTACGATGGTCGTCGTCTTCTTGGTCGTCGTCGTCGTTGATCGACGACATTGAAAATTTTTTTTTTCAGTTCATTCAACATGGTGAAAGTTTATTGGCAAAACAGAAAAAAAATGTTATCTCCTTCAATGATCATTCATTTTTCATTTTCATTTATTATTGGTTTTTTTATGCTGTTGGCTGGTGTCCGTTTTGGATGATGATGGTAAAATGATCAGATAACCACATATAAAGTTTACGACAATCTGTGGACTATGCGAGAAAAAAAAGATGACAACCACCCTACAAAAAAAAACCAAGAAAAAATGAGATTTTTTCTTCAAAAATTTTCAATGTAGAAATGATCCATAATTTTTCACTCTCTCTCCTCTGGAACATTTGAATTTTCAAAGCCTATACAGCTGACACACAGAGGAGAAATTTACCTGATTAATACCTGTTGATTTTTAATCTTGTTATCTTTTTTTGTTGTCGTTGTTTATATATTAATCATCATCATCATCATATTGAATTATATTTCTTCTTTCATTCTCTCGCTTATCTAAATATCATTAATTTTTGCCTGGTTTCATTTCATTGCATCTTCACTTTCATGGATGTTTCATGCCAAAAAAAATTGAATTATGACAACTTTTTTTTGGTAGGGAAAATTTATGATATACCCAGGGTTTGTTTGTTTGTTTAAAAAAACGCTGTAATTTATTCCCGATATTAAAAAACCAACAAAATGATTATGATGAAAATTGTTGAAAATTTCAACACCACAGCAGGTGATTATATATAGTCTCTGTGTTTCTGCTTGATAAACCATTGATATTTGGTTTGGTTTGGTTTGATCGCTTATTCCATTAAAAAATGATGATTTTTTTTGATGTTTTCAATCATCACAAACAAAAATTGATACATAACATTCATTCATTTCATTAACATTCGTTTATTTTTGTTTTCTCGTTTTTTTAAAATAATAATAACAGGGGGATTATCAACAACCGCTATGATTAAAATCAATGTAATCGATGTAAGTAGTTTTTTTATTATTATTAAATTTCGATTTTGTAATTACAAATCTGTTATAATTCAATTATAATAATGAAATTAAGATTGCATTACATTTTACAAATTATCGAAAAGGAAGGATTATAACGAAATGATTGATTGATCTATGTTTTTGTTTTCTGCAGGCAAATGATAATGTACCTATATTCTACCCACGTGAATATAAAGTTAGTGTTGGTGAAAATATTTTGCCATCATCTCCATCATCATCAAGACAAATAAATCCATTAGTAATTGTTGCTGCTACTGATCTTGATTCATCAAAATCATCTTATGGCCAAATTGAATATGAAATAAAAATTGGTAATGAAAAAAATTATTTCGATATTGATAGAAAAAGTGGTGAAATTTTCCTATTAAAACCATTATCTGTATTACCTGGATCATTATCACATCAACAATATAAATTAATTGTTACGGCACGTGATGGTGGTGGTCGTGAATCAAAAGAACCGGCAACAGTATTGATTTCGGTTGTTCCACAACAATCCGATTCGATTGGTCATATGATACCGGTACCAATATTTCTACAACGACAATTTTCATTTCAAGTTATTGAAAATGTTGCACAAGGTGCTATTGTCGGAACTGTTCGTGCAAAAATTCAATCATCAATGAATGATGATGATCAACTGGAAGAACCAATTTCATATTCAATATATTCAGGTGATCCAGATGGTTATTTTACTATTGATCCAAGACATGGAACAATTAGTGTTAAATCATCATCGATTGATCGTGAAAAACATTCATTTTTATTGGTAAATGTTCAAGCTTATACAGGGAGATATCCTGGTCCATATCGTTATGCACATACACAGATCAATATAACCATATTGGATGAAAATGATAATGTACCAATGTTTCCAAGTCCAACATTAAAGATTAGTGTACCGGAAAATATACCTATTAATAATGGAACAGTATTTATTGCATATGCAATTGATTATGATTCAAATGAATTTGGACAAATTCATTATCAATTATATCCAGCAACTAATCATGATAGTGATGATCGTGATCGTTTTCCATTCATTATTGATGAACATAGTGGACATGTACGTTTACGTCGTCAACTGGATTATGAAACAAGAAATGAATATCAAATACGTATTGTTGCTATTGATGGTGGACAATTAAGTTCAGAAATGTTGGTACATATTTTCATACAAGATGTAAGTAACATTCGAATCTAATGTTTTTCATTTCCATAATCAAACTCTTCTCTAATCAGCAAATTAAAAAAAAATTTTCAGATAGATTTAGTAAGACACAATTTTTTCATATCTTCAAGATCAATTTTTTTTTGCTAAAAGCATTGCATTTCTCATCATCAACATTTATACGATTCGGCTATCTTTGTTCTTTCTATCGTTTTTTTGGGTTCAAATAGCCTCCATCATCAATTTTTTTATCCATTCGAATTTTATGATCTTTTTTTTTCTTTCAAAAAACTTTTTTGCATTGTTGAATCTTTGGAGGATTTTTTTTTCTTACTTTTCGAAAAACTTTTGTCATTTTACCCCTCACTAAGAATCAGGAAAAAATAGTAAAAAGATAGAGAGAGAATAATAGTTCCCATCATAATCATCATAAGATTATCAGTGTGTGTGTTGGGTGTCCATCAAAATGGATCGACGACCCGTTTGGTCATCATAATAATCATCATCTGCCTCTCCATCTTTTTTTCTATGCGAATTTTTTTTCTGATTTTCGATTACAAATCGTCATCATCCATGTCGAGAGCAATGGGAGAAATTTTTCTTCTTATTCAAAATACTGAAAAGAAAGAAGAAACATTTTCTTGTTGAAATTATTATTATCCATCCATTGATCTTTATCTTTATTGTTATGGTTATTATTATTATCGTTTGTCGTTTGTCGTTTTATTTAATTTAGTAAAAAAATTTAAAGTTTTTTTTTGTCGTTGAAACATTACGATAATCATCATCGTCATCAGGCTATGAATTTCATTTTGCTTATTTTCATTTACTCATTACTGATCAAATGATAAACAAAACATTAAACAAACAAAAATTCTCTTGAAAGTGCAATGGATTCTTTATGATCATTGGTGATGATGAGTGCAAGTGAGTCTATAGTTGTCTTTCGGAAAAAACTCAAAATCAATTAAGTTATCATCATCATTCAGGGAAGGGGATGATTCTTCATCATCATCAATCGACAAACAAAAATTAATTAGAATATAATTTGTATTGAATTTGCCGACAAAAGTTTTATTTTGATTCTTCCCTATCAAATTTAACTCTTTTTTGTTGTTGTTGAATTGAGCCAATAATAATAAAATCAGATCAGATCTTATCCATGTTATTATTTGGATTCATTATGTAAATTTGGATTTTCCAAAAACAAAAACAAACAAAAAAAAACATTGAAATGCCATTCAATTATATTGGAATTTTTCGTTGTTGTTGTTGTTTGTAGGAAATAGGAAAATAACCGAATCGAAACCAGATTGTAAACATACAAAAAACACAAACATCTTGTCACAATGATGGACACCAACATACAACATCAAATGTGGAAATAATAAAAAAAAAGATTGACAGTAATAGCTTTGGCCAATGGTGATTTGTGTTATTTTACTTAGTTTATTGATAATATGCCTAGGTAGATAGATCCTTGTTGTTTGGATGATGTTATGGCTGTTGCTGTTGCAAAAAAACAAAATTTAAACCAACCAACCAAACAAGTGTGTTTATGCATCAAAGATTCATGTTATTTTATCGAATGCAGCAACAGTGACTGAAAGAAAACATTACCCAGAAAAAAAATCCAATTGAAAGCAATTTAAATTCCTTATCTGGTATTTTCTTTATTTCTTTACTTCGTTGTTGTTGTTGTTGGTCATTATCAGCGCATCGGCTATTTGAACGAAAAAAAAACGATCATGGTTTTTTCATAATCATCATACTTAAAAACGACAACAACCCTATGTTGTTTATACGATGCTGTCATTTTCCATTTCATCTATGGTCACTATAGTTAGTCTTTTTACGATCATCATCATCGATGGAATGATTAGCGACAAAGAAATGATATAAACATTGGATTTTTTTTCTGAAGAAATTAAATTACTTAAAGACTTTTGGAGAAAAAAAAAGAGTTTATCGTTTTTTATTCACTATATTTCTGCTCTCTCTCTCTCTCTTTTTTTGATTTGATTTGATAATAATCCATAATCTAATTGATTGTCCTCTTCTTTTTCTCTTTTTTTTCCTACATCAATCAATCAATCAATCAAACAAACAAACAAACACATAGGTAAACGATAATGTTCCGATTTTTATCGGTACCGCTCAATCATTAGATATGGCAAATAATTATTCGAAGAAATTTAATAATGTACATCGTCAATCATCATCGTCGTCATCATTACCATTATATCGAATACAAGTACAAGAAAATCTACCAATCAATACAATTATCTATCAGATTAAAGCAACAGATGCTGATACTGGTAATAATGCTCGTTTAACTTATTCATTACAATCATTAATGAATGATGATGATAATAATAATCAACAATTATTACCTATTGATATTTCACCAAATAATGGACAACTTTATATACGTGATTTATTGGATCGTGAACAATTAGATCATTATGAATTTTTAATAACAGTCACTGATCATGGTCAACCAAAACCATTAAATTCAACAGCTATTGTACATATTTCTGTTCAAGATTCAAATGATAATCGACCAAATTGGAAACAAACAAAATATGTATTTGATATTTCGGAAAATGCAAATATTGGTACATTAATCGGACAGGTATTTGCATTCGATATGGATTTAGGTAGAAATGCATCATTAGTTTTCAATATTTCACAACAACAAAAAGAATCACAAATTTTCGGTATTAATCCATTGACTGGACAAATTTATTTACGTTCAAATTTAGATCGTGAATCAAAAGATCGTTATGAATTTAATGTTGATGTTCGTGATCAAGGTACAATACAATCATTGAATAGTGAAGAAAAAGCTATCGTTATTGTTAATGTTTTGGATATCAATGATAATCATCCTGTTTTTGATGATGATGATGATAATGGTAACAATATATTGACCGTACCTGTTGGTACATCACGTAAAAGTATTATTGCTACATTTCATGCTTATGATCCAGATTTTGGTAATAATGGAACTGTTCATTATAGTATGATGGATGAAAGTGATCTATTCACTATTGATCATATAACTGGTTCTTTAATCACTAAAATTGATATAAAAGAAAGTTTAAAACGATCAACAAGAAAAATTTCATTACTTGCAACCGATGGTCAAGGTAAAAAATCCAAAGTTAAATTGATTAATATTGAAATTGTTGATAAACGTACATTGAATTTGGATTTGGATTATGTTGAACAATATAATTTTAATGCAAAATCAAATGAAATTGATTATGGATATAAAATTGGTTCAATAGATTTACCAATGAAATTACTTCAACAACATCAATGTAATAATCGATTTTTTACAAATTTTCATTATCAAATCAAAAATGGTTTGCCATTTTTTGTTGAAAATGATGATTTAAATGAATCAAAATTACATTTAATGACATTTGATCGACTTAATCGAACCGGACAAAATGAATATAATCTTTTACTTTGTATTGATTGGTCACAATGTTTAGCTGCAACATTGGAAATTTCTGAAATCAAAAGTCATCATTATCAAATGATTCAATGTGATCATTATGTTCGTATTAATGTTCAGATTGAATCAAATGATAATGAACATTGTCTACCATTACCTATCGAAAATCGTGATCTATTCGAAGTAAAAATACCATATAGTCCAAATGAATTGTTTAAAAATCAAGATTTAGTTTATTTAAATTATTCAAATTGTCTATTATCGATGACCGATGATATTGAATATGAATTATCTAGTCCAATGATTAAAAATGATGTATTAAATCGAATGTTTTCAATCGATTCAAATCGTATACTGCAATTGAAACGTTTACATGATCAAACATTAATCAGACAATATTTACATGAAGAATTTGTTTTATCTTTAATGGCTAAAAAACATGGAAAAATTCTACAAAGTGTACCGATCCGTATGAAAATCATTAATTCGGATCAGTCACAACTGGGAAACATTGCGTTTGTTAATGAAAAATTCTTAGAATTAGATGAAGATTGTTGTCATGTTGGTGCTGCAATCATTCAAACACGTATCAATGTAACACATGATGATTTTAAAATTCGTTATTTTATCTCTAATCATGGCCATTTAATGTCAAATGATGAACAATTTACATTGAATATGGATAATGGTTTATTGAATTTAAAACGTAAATTTGATTATGAAAATAAACATGAACATCGTATTAATATTACTGCTTTGGTTTATAATTCAAAACTATTGCCAATTGCAACTGTTTCGCATATTTTGAAAATAAGGTAAATAAATGAATTTTTCTTTTTATTTACAATGAAAAATTTGATTAAACTTTTTTTCCCGAAAATAAAAAACAGAATACTCAACACAAATGATGAACCACCGATTTTTGTACGAAGATTATATGAAAAAGAAATCGTTGAAAATGCTTCGCCTGGACAATTGATTGTTCAATTGGAAGCAAAAGATTCGGATCAACAAACATCAAACATAACCTATCTGTTACCGAAAAGTTATCGTTATGCCGAATATTTTGAATTGAATTCAAATAATGGAGAATTGAAATTAATGAAAAGTTTAGATCGTGAACAAATTGATCATTTTTATGTACCTGTTTATGCTTTTGATGAAAATTTTAAACATCATACATCAACATTGGTCAATGTTAAAGTAAGTCTTATATTTTTTTCTGTTTTACAAAGAATTTGTATTGATTTGAATCTTCTTTTCTATTTGCTAATCTAGGTTGTTGATATCAATGATAATTCACCATATTTTGTTCATTCAAATTTCAATATAAAAATACCGGAAAATGCTAAACCAGGAACTATTATCTATACACTTGTTGCTATTGATCCAGATCTTACTGATCATCAAAATAATCGATCAGGTAATTCTGGTCTTCATTATCGTATTTCGTCGGGAAATGTTGGTAATAAATTTGTTTTACATGAACAACGTGGTGAATTAATTATCAATGCACAATTGGATCGTGAAATGCAATCATTATACCATCTAATTGTAGAAGTTTCTGATTCTCTTCATACTTCAATTTGTAATGTTACTATTGAATTATTAGATGTTAATGATAATGGTCCTATATTTGAAAAAAGTGATTATTATGCAATTGTAAATGATATTTCATTTGGATGGATTAATGTTTTAACCGTACGAGCTATCGATTCTGATGGTGATAAACTTCTTTATCGTATTGAAAATGATTCAAATAATCTGACAAGATATTTAAGCATGAATTCCGAAACAGGTGAAATACGATTACATTCATCAATGATTATTCCAATATTTAATCAATTAGATTCAAATGTTTTTACATTTGAAGTTAATGCTATTGAAGGTGGAAAAATTTCCTATCGTTCATATGAATCAAAAGCTAAAGTACATTTAACATTGATTACTAATGGTAATCATAATTCACTAATTGATTCATTCAAATTAATCAAATATCCATACACAATAATTGTGGATGAATCACGGCATAGTTTACGTATTAATCAGAAAATTGGTTCAATTGAATTTGGTTCATATCAAAATTATTTTAAACAGGAAAAAAATTCAAATCAATTATCATATCGAATATTGAATGGTGGTGAAAGTTATCGTTCATTTAATGATTATTTTACAGTTCAACAACAAACTGGTGCTATTCTTGTAAAACGTTTATTGAATTATAATTATTATGAAGCCATTGTTGAAGTGACCAAACAACTTGATCAACAAAAATTAATTAGTACATCAACTTTATTGCAAATATTTATCGGCGGTATTGATGATCGAAAATTTATTCAATCAATACATTTAGATTCATTAGAAGTTTCGGAAAATCAATCACCCGGTTCAGTGATTGTTAATCTTGGTTCATTCATACATAATCATCCACAATCATATAATTATCAGATTTTCTATTCAGATATTGATCGATCTTATTTTGAAATTCAAGATAAACATCTTAAACTGCGAAAATCTTTGGATTATGAATCACAACCAAATCAAATTCAGGTTTTAATATTTGCATATCGGCCTTCGGATACAAACCTGCATGAACATTCGTATCTTTATAATTTAACCATACACGTTGCTAATGTTGATGATAATTTACCACAATTTACACAAAAACATTATATAGCTACTATTAATGAAAATGAACAAACCGGGAGTTTTGTTGCACAAGTTAATGCTATCGATATTGATGATGAATCATTGATTTTTAATAAAACATTTGGTACACGACGTTATAGTTATTATATTGTTGATGGTAATAATGATATGGCATTTAGTATCGATAATGATGGTGTTATTCGTACGAATATTGTTTTGGATAGAGAAATTCATGATCGATATCAATTGAAAATTATTGCAACCGAAATGAAACAAGATTTTTTCGGCGATTTTCTGGCTGATGAAGCAAGTTATCAACATTTAACACAATGTATTGTTGAAGTTATTATTATCGATCAAAATGATAATGTTCCAGTATTTCCACCGTATAAAGAAATTTCCGTAAGTGAAGATGCTGAAATTGGTTCAGTAATTGCTACATGGACGGCTAATGATGTTGATATACATCCAACATTAAGTTATTTAAAATTAAAAACTAATAATAATAATAATGATTTGAATGAAGATGAAGATTGTTTTGAAATTGGTCTTTATACTGGAAAAATTTATCTAAAATGTCCATTAAAACCATTATTAGGTGGAATATCTGGACCATTAGTTCGTCGTATTAAATTATTACTACAAGCATCCGATCAAATGCATACAATTGAAACCGATATTACCGTAAATATTAAACGAAATTATTCAAAAATGACACCAGTATTTCGTGATGGTGCTAATTTCTATCAACAATTAGATCTTGATGATAAACATTCTGTATTAATGACCGACATCAATGTTGAACTATTTCGTGTGCCAATGATTGAAGATCCTATTGTTAAACGAAAAATTCTATTCCAATTAAATTCAGAAGCCGGTTCCGAAGGTTTTTATATTGATCAAACACGTGGAATTATCTATAATAATCGTACTATTCGTTATCGAAGAAATAAATTTATAATGTTAACAGTGTTTGCACGTTATCAAGATTCTGATGTACAAGCACAAGCATCATTAGTATTAAATTTCAAACATAATGAATTATCATCATCATCATCATCAAATTATTATAGCAAAAAATCCGAATCATCAACAAATAGTTTTAATATTGAAATTGAAAGTTCACAGATTGGTATATCGCTTTTACGTTTACCACGTCGATCATATGCAAATTATATAATATTCAATGGTAATAGCAATAAGAATTTTATTATTTTACGTGGCCGAGAACTTGTTCTCATTAATCGTCCATTAACTGATCAATATTTATTGAAAATAAAACCAATGTCCATCGATGATAAACGTTCAGCATCAAATTCAACAATCATTTATGTTCATATTAAAGTTCGTCCATCGAACATAAAAGATTCTACAATATTTTCCAGTCCATTTAAATCACAGATTTTTGAATTAGAAATTAATGAAAATGAAAAAATTGGTACGGAAATTCAGAATCTAAAAGCGCATACACCTGTTTCACGTACACAAACGGAAAATGGTGATAGTTTTCATTTTCGTATTTTTAGCGGTAATGATCAGAATTTATTTCGTGTCGATACACGAACTGGAATATTGGTTGTGGATAAAAAACTTGATTTCGAAACCAATCCTTTTCATCGTTTAGGTATTTTGGCCGAATCACATCGATCTGGTACATTATATTTTACAATCATTAACATTAATCTAATCAATTCGAATGAATATTGTCCGGAATTTGTAACAAATTATTTTAAATCATTAATTGAAGAAAATGTTGCAATTGGAACAAAAGTTTTACCAATCAAAGCTATTGATCATGATAATGATCAATTAAATTATACTGTAATGAAATTAAGCGAATGGAATGATAGTCCATTTAGATATGATTCAGATTCGGGTTATATTATTACTGATGGAAAATTAGATTATGAATCACGATCATCATCAGTTTATAAATTTATTGTTAAAGCAACAGATTCAAGTGGAAATAATCTATATCCAAGTAGTGCTGCTGGTAATGATTTACAATGTAATACAATTGAAACAATTATTGAAATACAAATTGGATCTATCGATGAACATAGTCCACAATTTGTTAATGAATCATATGATTTTAAAGTGATAACATCAATAACACGTTCTCGTGTAAAAATTGGACAAGTATTGGCAATTGATTCGGATTCTGGTCCGGATGGTATTGTTGTTTATTCAATCAAAAATATATCACCACAAACATTATCCGAATTGATTCATATTAATTCAACAACTGGAATGATTTCAATGTCAGTGTTTGCAGCCAATATTCCTAAACAATTTTCAATGATTATATCAGCATCATCTGGTCGTATGAATTCATTAAATTCATTAACAGTGGTCAATGTTCGTCTTACATTGATTGGTGATGATAATAGAGAAATTGATTTGGCTGAAATGATCAATAATATTGATGCTGGATTAGCAATAGCTGGTGAACCTATTGCAACACAAAGAGAAGCACCATTACCTGGATGGATTATATTCCTAATTGTATTACTGTTATTGATTACATTCGTCTTAATGGTCAGTGTTATTGTTATTCGTATGCATCAACAACAACAAGAACAACAACATTATCTTACTGGACATTTACGAACACTTACAAATGCTAATCATCATGTTGGTTCATTATTTAGAAAAATTGGTCCAGGATTTGTTGAAAATGTTGGTGTATCGGGTGATCCGAATATACATTCACCTGCATATTCGGTTACTCATTATGGAAATGTCACTGGATCGGTTATTGCACCAGTTGCACCACCTTGTTATAATGATGTTACATTACGTACAGCAACAACAAGATCAAATAATGTATGTAATGTTGGTGCAAATGTTCCAATCATTGAAGGACATTCAGCATCATCGGGTCGTGGTTCAGCCGAAGATGATGCCGATCTTGATGATGTTGATGAAGAAATTCGTATGATAAATGAATCAACAAATTATTATGATAATGATGATGATGATGATGATCCTTCAGATGAACCAACAACAATAACTGAATATTTAGCACGTTTAGGTGTAACCAATCATTATGAAGAAGAACCAGAAAATACATCATCAGTTGCAATCGATGATGATGATAATAATAATAATAATAATAATGATGAAGTAATTAGCCAAATAAGTAAACTTGAATCATATCAACGTAATGGAATGAATAAAAGATTACAACAATCATATCCAAGAACATCTGGATCAACACATAGTGGTAGTACAATAGCAACAACAACAACAAATAAAAATAATCATAATTCAAAATCATCATCATCAGTAGTTCATCATGATGAAAATGAATTAACTGGATCATATAATTGGGATTATATACAACAATATCAACCAAAATATCAACCATTATCATCAGTGTTTGCTGAAATTGCTCGATTAAAATCAAATGATTTATCAATGGATCATCCGCATCATCATCCACATGGACCAATAATGCAGCAGAATAATCATTCAACAACAACAACGAAAATTCAAGAAGTTTCACCTGCAATCAATTCGAATATGATGTATGGCCACCATCATCATAATCATCACCATAATCCATATGTAATGTCTGATTATCGTTATCAACAACAACAACAACAGCCAAATAACAATAATCTTTATAGTACGGGTGATTATGGATCAGTTCTATCGAATAATAATAATGGTAAAAGATCATCCAATCTTCCGTCTACACAACAGCCAACAACTTCTTCATCGATCGATCCAACATTATTATCGTCATCGTCGTCTTCGTCATCTTCATCCTCATCAGCATCGATTTATAATGCAGCAGCAACGACAAAAAATAATAATGGATTTTTATCCCGATTTCGATGATATTTTGGATTGGACAACAATAATAATGTGATACTCATCATCTGAAATTTAAACAAAAAACCAAAACAAAATTGTAATTGTAAATAATTTATATTTATTTATATCATTTCTTTAAAATGAAAAAAACATAAATCATTGATTGTGATATTGTATCGACATTATATTTACATATCTTGTAATTTGTAATTTATTTTTTTTAAAAAGCTAAAAAATATCTGCCTACACTTTTTTATAAAAAAATGTACATTTTTGTTTGATAAATACAATTTTTTAAATAAAAAAACTTCAATTTTAAACGCCAGACGGCGTTAAGAGTATTATCCTTATTATCAAATTAAATGAAAAAAATAATTTACGAAAAATAATTCATCCATTAGATGGCAGTGTTTGTCACTTAAATCATCGTTGTCCGTTTGGTGTCGCTATCATACATAAAAAAAAAAATATAACCATTTTAAGATTGACGATCTAAAAACATGACGATTGAATGAATGGAATGAATGAAATGGATTCAACTCGGATATGCGCATTACAAAAGTGTATTTCAGCTGCTATTTTTTTTGGAAAAAAAGATAGTTGTTGTTGTTGTTCAATTCAGTCATCAATGAAAAATATAATTGCGACATGATTTGACATACCAAAAAATTGAATGAAATGAGAGAGAAAGAAACAGATAAAAGGGAGACAGGCCAAACCTGTATATCTATGTATTTTTTCGAGAAAAAAATTAATTTCGAGTCGTCTCAGTTTGTTTTGTTGTGCGGTGAAAGTATTACGAAACAAACAAACAAACACAAAGAATAAGATGCGTACGCATAGGGCAAATGTATTAAATGGAAAAAAGAAAAGAAAAAAAATTACCCGGGATATTAGTTGGGCGAAATAAAAAAAATTTCATGATTCTGCCATCATCATTATCATTATATTGATGCTGTGTGCGCTGTGGTAACATTGTAACTTGCTATACAAGCTCCATCATCATCATCATCATCATCATAATCAACAGCCGAAACACACATATAATGCTGAATTGAATGAATTTTATCCTTTTTCCCTCCGCCATTAGCCCTGGTATATATGTTCATCCACCCTGTATATCCATCTGTCTGTCTGTATTTGAGAGGGCAAACGTACATTACGCATAACAAACACGAATACAGCAGGCAATACAGAGTGTGATGATGAAAAGAAAAAAAAAATCGAATGATTTCCCCACATCAATTATTAAACAACAACAACAATGATGATGATATACGTAGACACAGCCAAGGATTTTTTCATTCCACTACCATAATCGGACGATTACTGTCCACTACCACAAATGATGGTGATGATGAAAAAAAAATCCCGTCTTTCTCTCAAAGTTTTTGTATAGAATAAAGTGATGAAAGGGAAATTTTTTTTTTTTTTAATATCATCTTCACATTTTGACATTTCTTCCCCCTTTTTTTGGGATATTTTAGTTTCTGTCATATTTCTCTTTCTCTTTTGTTGTTGAATTAATTCGCGCATGTATCCTTCGAATTTTGATACGTGTCACAATCACAGTGTGTGTGTGTGTGTGTGTGTGTGTTGAATAACAGCATCAAAACACAGGATAGCTTCGATTTTAATTATCGATGATTTGAAAGACATTTTCGTAAAGTTTTCTTGTTGTTTTCAAATGAAAATTTGGTCTAGAATTACCTTGTACAACAAATTTTTATCAAAGCCAAAAGGTGACATCCAAAAAATTCATCCAAAAATTTCTCCATTCACCGTTTGTTTTTTCCTTGAATGATTTGTGAACTAACTCTTGTCACCCGAGGATGATAATGATTTCTTACTAAAAGTTTGATCAATGACAAAAAAAAATATTGCAAAAAAACAGTCAACAAGAAAAAAACTTGAAAGGAAATTGAAAATGATTTTCTGGAACAAAATTTGAACAAACAAACAAACAAACAAAAAACGAATAGCCACCGTTTTTCTTCCTTTATCCATGTTATTCGCGAACTATCGGGCTCTCTCTTGCTCTCGCTCTCTCACCTGTCTCCATCCTACACACAAACAGACAGACAGACAGGGATAGAAAGCGTTCATTCAAGCCAGCTTCCTTCTTTTTCTTTTTTCATCATCGATTTTTGAAAATTACAATTCGATTTGCGCATAATCCAATTCTCTCATTCAATAAAAAAAAAAAAAAATCATTCGCCGATCCAAAATGATACACAATGAATAGTAGCAGTATGGTGAAATGAATGAATGGTATCCATAATCAGAGTTTCCATTCCACTACCCAATGTGGATACGACGAAAATTTTTTCAATCATTTTCCTCATTTCAAATCGAAAGTCTTTTTTTTTTTTGCTCTTTTTATCGAATCTTTCAGGATTTTACCACTACTACTTTTGCTTCAGAGTGAGAGAGAGAGAGTTTAAATTCAGTTCATGTCAAAAAAAAAAATGTCTTTTTTTTTATTTTCGTCATAACATTTTCCTATTTTCTGGATACTTTCCTCTACTTTTTTAGTGTTTTGTCTGCGTTCTGTGATTATTACAGAAAATAACATTCTGTGTGTGTATGTTGGTGGATGCTACTCCTTTTTTGGGTTGTGGATTTTTAATGTTTTTTTTTTTTTTTTTTTTTTTTTTTTTTTTTTTTTTTTTTT